GGATTTTTTTAGGCAAGGAATTGGTTTTGCCAGTTCTTTCCTCTGAAATATATCCTACAGCTCCTGGTATTTGTTGACATTCTCCTATCCAAATACTAAATAGGGCTGACTGTGTAGCTTTCAAGATCAGACAGGATCTTGTACCTTTAGGGTAGCCAGACTCTTACTCATACATTTAATAGGCCATTCTCACCCTCTTTCCCCAGGTATTCTGGACATCAACTCCCAGAAGCCCTTCCGATGGCATAATCAATTATCATGGATTACACCTGAAATCCAAAACATCTGGAGGACCCAAGGTTGAGAACTACTGCATGAGATCCAACAGGGATTCAGGACCTGGGCCAACCCATAGAAACCACTTTGAAAACAACCCAATGAGCACAGATGATGTCTGACAAATGCTCTGCTAAAGTCCCTGGTATGGAATCACTGAGGCCAAAATATTAGGTAGCATGCCAGCACTTTGTCTGGCTTAGCTATTTGCATAACTGTCAGATGACTGAAGTTTTACTGTGCCTTTAATGTGGATTAGTCCAGCAGACAATGTAGAGAATGCTAAATCCCCCTTTCCTCTCCCTGGCCAGTGAGATCCAACTAATTCAATTATTCAAGGATCAGAACACGACATTATTATGGGTTTATAAAACAAGTAAAAGCAGACCTCCCAAAAGTCATTCAGCAGGAATTTCTAGTGCAGCTCACCACAATGGAATATTTGTGTTAATTAATGTAATAAATTAGCTATATGTCAGATATAACTCAAAACTACCGGTAATTTCAGCTTAGATTATTCTATTAGCCTTGCTTTGAGAAAGTAATGCAAATTTGAGTTACCTTTGCTGAAGGACAAAGAGGAGAAAGAAGATAAAGATATTACAGTAGCCCCTCTGTTTTCATGGGGGATCCGTTCTGGACACACGGACACACATGTGAAAATGGAAAATCACAAATATTCAAGCCCCATTGGCTTGAATGGAGGTTCATGCCTGTGGGTGCACACTCTATTTTGTTCCCCTCCATTTGCCACCCATGAACAGGCGAGGGACATGGACACCAAGTCCTCAAAAATGGAAGGTCAACTGTATAGCCATCTATAGTATAGCAAAAACTAGTAATATAACACACACACACACACACACACACACACACACACACACATATATATATATATATATATAAATTTTGTTGTTCTTTTAATATGTTGTAACCCGCCCCATTTGCTAAGCAGAGGGGAGGGCTATAAATAAAAAATTATTATTTTATTATTATTATATATTAGCCCCAATTTTAGTAGCTACATAGGGACCATGAAAGTCCTCCAAACCCTACTTACTATTAAGCAGCCACTGGGATCCGTTCTCCTATTGATCAAAAAGTAGATGCCTAATGTTCCCACCACCACTACCACCCCCATAGGTGGTGTCAGTGGAATTTGTGAAAGGGGTCCTTTTCCTGCCTGTCATATTGGAGATCACTCATGAGAGGGAGACAATGTCAGACAACTCTTCTCAATTGGTAGGGGAACAGATCCCCATTGATCCTAAGTGACGTTTGGGGAAGTCTGGCTGGAATCCACTACATATCACCATAAATACAGTGCTACATAATACATAACAATCATAAAAGATTCCACAAAAACTGTCTCTTATTCATACGATCACCATAAGTCAACCTAAAAATGTCAATTAACAACAACAATCAGATGAAATACCCAGTATTATAACAACCAACTGAAATACCCAGTATTACTTGCCATTACTCACCAACTATGGCTGCTGACAATTGCAATCCAATGGTATCTACATTCCTATCCCTGTTCTTATCACAATATCACACTGACTGTCATATATAGAGAGGTTGTTAAAAGACTTGAGTAGAGCCTTGTTTCCCGCCTCCACAGCATGCATGTATGAGGCCATTATGGAGGCTGACACATCTGTGTATACATCCATAGTCCATTACAGCCCTCTCATCCAGGTTAGGAGAGAAAAAGAGAGAGAAAGCTGGAAAGGAATAAAGAAAGTGTGCACACACACCCTGATTTCTGGAAATGTCTATCACACCTCACTCAGCTCAAGTGTGTCAGAAAGACAACAAGACTCCATTACTGTATGGATTCCATGTTCATGCAAGCATAGATCATGCCTCAAGTTAATACCAGTCATAAAGGGAAAATTCACTCAAGTTCTTCCATCCTATCTTTGGAGAATTAAACCTTCAAAACCAAAACATGATATGATGCAGCAGTCATCTAGTGATGAACATTCAGTTTGTGAATAGGCTTCAGTCTGCTGCACATTGGGCCTCTTCTTTGCACTAATGCAGTGGTCCTGAAACTTTGTTGGGTCATGGTCCCCAGTTGCTGGCACAATTCACTTATTGTGAGGATGAACATTTAACTATCTTGCCAGAGAAAATTGATGCTTCTTGGTTCCACTTGTGTTGATGGTTGTTTTTCTTTTAGGGGAGGAGGAGATAGAAATCTCATGATATGTAATTCTTATCTTGATGTTTTTAGTAAAGGGTGCTTAACCTAGGGTCCATGATCAGGATGCAAAAAATGTTTTCACCCTTTTCATTTCTTTCCTGATACTTTGACTTTATCCTACATGATGAATTTGCAGGTAAAAAAATAATCTTCTGAAGTGTTTTTCATTCTAGACTATGTGAAAGCAATCAGTGTCAATTATCAATAAAATCTAAATTCTAAAATAAAATCTAAATCTAAAACATAATGTTGGTGATACCTTTATTAGGCCAATTGGAAAGTTTTTAAAAATTTAGACTAATTTTCAAACACATGGGTTTCTTCATCTGTTAAAGATGGTAGAACAGAAATTACACAGGGAAACAAAATTGATGATGTTGGAGTTACAAGTCTGCAGATTTGCATTTGGGATGTTACAGTGTATCCATGCAGGCAGAAAGTTCAAGCCCCATTTTCCCCCCAAAAGAGAGGCTGATAAGGAACAGGACAAAGTCTGTAAAAGGACACCATAAAATTTCATGTTTCCATTGCAATCGTAAAGTCTGTTCCCTGGCAATCTGTTCCATTGCTGACTGATGTGATAGCAAACTTCAGTGATCTTTTCAGGGAAAACCTATGCTGTAAAGTCTGGAGATCAATTTAAGTATGACAGGCAAACAGGACAATAGAAGGCAATTTAATAAGTCCTGCTACCAGGTTCTTGAAAATCAAATCCCTTTCTAATTTGCATGCAAATTTTTGTGTGTATATTACCCTAAGGGCTACAGCACTAGATCCTACTTGATCCTGGAAGTTAGGCAGGATCAGGCCTGGTTAGTACTTTGATGGATGACCCCAAGGAATATCAGCTGCTGTGGTCTATATTTCAGAGATAGAAACTGGCAAAAACTTCTCTGAATATTCCTTGCCTAAGATAACCCTATGATATTCATGCAGTTGCTAAAAGTCAAGAGATTATTTGAAAGTGCATAAACACACACACACACACACACACACATGCATTTTTGCAAAAGGCAGTCCATAGCTTTCTCAGCTTTCCAAAGGGGTTTTGTTGTTGTTAACTGCCTTCGCGTTAGTCTCAACCCATGACAACCCTATGGATGAGACATCTCCAGCCCCCCCCTGTTTTCTACTGCTCTGGCCAGCTCCTGCAAACTCATATTCGTGGTCTCTTTAATAAAGTCCATCCACCTAGCATGTGCCCTTTCTCTCTTTCTACTTCCCTCCACCTTTCCTAACATTATTGTCTTTTTCAATGATTCATGCCTTCTTCTCATAATGTGTCCAAAGTATGACAGTCTAAGGGCCTCTGCAGACTGGCCCAAAGGGCCCGCCTGGAGGCAGAGTTCGGGCAGGGCAGCCACATGCCAGCCACCCACGCCAACGCCGTCCTGATGCCACATGCCATTACATGGTGTGTGGCATCAGGACGCCCTCCTGGCACAGCATTCTGACATGCTGTGCCAAAAAGGGTGCTGAAGAGCTGCGCACTGGCTCTTAAGGCAGCCTTTTGCTGCCCCTAAAAGGAGTGGCATTTTGTCACTCTTTTCGGGGCAGCAAAAGGGAGGATTGGGGCTGCGGCATGGGGTTGCCGTGGCCCCAATCGGCCACTTCCCAGGCCAGCCCAGATCCACCTGTCTGCAGTCCCCTTAAGTCTTGTCATCTTGGCTTCTAGGAATATATATGGACAGCCAAAATAATAAATAACTGGGTCCTAGAACAGATCAAGCCAGAGATATTCCTTTGGACACATCATGAGAAACATCAAGATAAGAATTACATATCATGAAATTTCTATCTTCTCCCCTCCTAAAAAAAACATCAACACAAGTGGGACCACAAAGCATCAAATTTCTCTGGCAAGATAGTTGAATGCTCATCATCACTAAGTGAATTCAACAAGCAACTGTATATTACAACATCCTGTATATACAGTGTTCGCTCTATAACATGGCATGTTAGCAATTAAAAAACAAAGGCTATTTGATGTTGACAGGCTTAGGGGAAATGACTGGGTTCTGAAAAAGAGATGAAGCCCTACAGTGCAAATGTGCTTTTAAACTGCTTTTAAACCAATTGTTTTTTAATACTGTCAGCCAGAATCCTGTGTGGGAGTTACACTTTCGTAAGTGGGCTTCCATCTGTGGGAATTAGAACTGAGCAGTTCTGTAACATCTGTATCCAGAAAGAGCAGCTATTATGTTACTGTGTAGAGGAGCCAGCAAAGTGCCAGGGAGTGCCAATGCACATCAGGATATTCTTGGTAGTGTCCCATTGCACACATTCACAGTTCACCAACAAGGTTTCCTCTTGCCTCTGCTATAACTAAGTATATGTAAATGACACACCTCAAGGAAGTGTTTACTTCTTGTTGTATGCCTTCAAGTCATTTTCTACTTAAGGCTTTCATGGGATTCTCTTGGAAAGATTTGTTCAGAGGAAGTTTGCCATTGCCCTGTCCTGAGGCTGAGAGCATGTAACTTGCCCAAGGTAACTCAGTGGGTTTCATGACCAAGATGAGAATTGAACTCTGATCTCCAGAATTGTAGTCTGACACTCAAACCACTATGCTGTGCTGGCTCTCAAAGTGTCTGTTCCTCATAAGGAATAGTCCCATAAGAAACTGAACTGGAACCACTACTGGAAGGATACTGCATGTTGCTAACATCACCATAAAAGCCCTTCAGACTGATCCCTTGGGGATAAAAATGCTAAGGATAAGATTAGGACTACCCCAAACCTAAATTATGCTACATAAAGAATCCTGAGCCCTAAGATCTACTCCAACACTAACACCACTCACTCTTGCCCAACCCACTGGAGTACTCCACACCACCCATAACAACTATGTGAAACACATGAATGAATATATGAGCTGCACAACTCACCCAAAGCAGGCTCCACCAATGCAGCACTACTTTCCTGAACCGAAGGGCCTCCAGAACCTCTTGCACATCTCTAAATCAGTGAAGCTGGTGTTACCCTCTGCTCTAGTTTCCCACTTAGCTGGGGCAACAGACTGCTTAGGAGGGACCTGTACCTGCTCTAAAGCCTCTAGTCTAGCAAGAATGGTGAAGAACCACTCCTTCCCTCCTAACAGACAATTTAGTAGGTGGGTTCTTATCCATTTGTCATCTAGCCATACCCTTACTCTTGGATCATCCACTACTCTTTCTGAAAGCCATGCCAACTAAACCAGACTAATTACAATTCCATCTCTCAAACCATTTAGCCTGAGGAAAGAGATGGAAAACAGATCTGATGTGACCTAATCCAGACCCAATCAGGCCAAAGCAGAAGGCTTATCAGGCTAGCGGGGCCTATGAAGTTTGTGGGCCAAACAAATGGAATAGAGACCACAGAGACCCACCATGCCTCAAACAAGTCCAATCATCCTAAAAGGACCTGCAATGGCCTATGAAGCCTAACACATGGCCAATTGGCTTAATGAAACCTAAAGAGGACTATAGTGCCTAAAATGAGACCAATGGGGCCCAACAGGGCCTACAGAACCCAATGAGGTCAAACCCAACATGGCCTACAGAGGTCAACAGGACCTAGCAAGCTCTGAGGTCTAGTACAACTGGGCTGAAAAAGAGGACTGGGCCCACTCATGTAAGGGCCTTTATTGGGCAAATCATCCTTCTTCAGCAGACTGGACATAATAGGGCTCAAAACCAGGGATGAACCAGCAGATCAGGCCTAATGGGATTTAAACCAGGGCCAGATAGGATTAAAGGGACTAAAGGAAGCTGGAGAAATATCCAGCTGATCAATAACTCACCCAGGCCACCCACATGTGCAAACAAAAAACACAGGTGCAGTGCCCATACTCCTGAATGTCACTTGATAACCCAAACCACCAGCAAAATCATGCAGTGTGGACAGTGAAACTACTTGCCCACCAATTGATTCTGCAAAAAAAGGGGGGTTGCAGACTGCCAGAAATAGTGCAAATTGAGTCCACTTTTAGGGTTAGGGTTAGGGTTAGGGAATCATGGGAACTGTATTTTATTGTGGCACCAGAGCTCTCTGACAGAGAAGGCTCAATGTCTCAGGGGAAAAAAAACAATTCCCACGATTCCCTAGCACTAACCCTAACCTTAAAAGTGGACTCAATTTGCATTATTTCTGGCAGTCTGCAACCCCCCAAAGTAAGCAAACCATACTGCAAGGCAGCAGAGACACAACTGTTGCCCATACCTTCCAAACTTCACAACAAACAAAGGGAGCAGGAGGGCTTTAAATATCCTCTGGTTTTACCCCCTAACATTGCACCTGATTAAATTTGCCTTTCTTTAAGTCATTTCCAACTTATGGTGACCCTAAGGTGAACCTATCCTGTTTTTTTCTTGCCAAGATTTGTTCAGAGGAGGTTTGGCATGCCCTGAGGCTGAGAGTGTGTGGTTTGCCTGAGGTCACCTAGTGGGTTTCCATGGCTAAACCGGGATTTGAACCCTGGTCTCCAGAGTCATTGTCCAAGGCTCAAACCACTACACTACACTGGCTCTCCCTCATGAAATTATACTTGACATTTGTCCATTGTTGTTGTTGTGTACCTTCAAGTCATTTCTGACTTATGGAGACCCTCAGGCAAACCTATCATGGGGTTTCCTTGGCAAGATTTGTTCAGAAAGGTTTGTCATTGCCTTCCCCTGAAGCTGAGAGCATTTTACTTGCCCAAGGTCACCCAATGGGTCTCATGGTGGAGCGGAGAATCAAACCCGGGTCTTCAAAGTCATAATTTGATACTCAAATCACTACACCAGGCCAGCAAAGGCAGCTCCTTCCCTGACCACCTCATGCAGTGCAGACACAGAGCTGCGGAATATGTAAAATTATGTAACATATACTGCAACAGAGGATACTGGCTGACATTTGCTTAACTGTGTTTTAACATTTTAATGTGTAAACAATAGCCTTAGTGTGTAGTAATAACATTTTGCATCTTATCTGTATCTGATGTTGAGTCCCAGTTTTGGAACTTGAGAGAAAATTGGTATATAAATAAAATAAAATAAAAATAGTTGAGATGTATGTGCATGATCAAGCCATTTTAAACCCCAAGCACTGAAAGACAGTAACCATTCTCGTATTATTATTATTTTTTTAAGAGCAGCACCTCCACCACTACAGAAAACTTTATTTGCTTAGAGAGCCATTGGAATGCTTCAGGCTTTTGCTAGATGTCACTATGGTAGAAGACATGCCCCATAAGTTGTCCTTACAATGCTTTCTTTTGTGTGATGAACATAAATGTTCAACAATCATGAGAAAGTCATCCAAGAAAAGATTTCCCTTCTGTGAGCTGGATCCTCATGGTAGACTTAACACTGGGCTCTCTCACTAATTGCCTATGCATTGAGGAAAGAATGGTTTCTTTCAAGCTGCATTCCCCCAGGCTCTTTAACAAAAGACCACTGAAGCCCTTTTTTGTTGTTAGCTCTTCACACATTATCAACTGACAGTTAACAAGAAGAGAGAGGCTATTAAATCTCTACCATTTGTCTTCTTTTTTCCTCCTCAGTTCATTCAGAGCTTTGTCAAGTTCACCCTACAAGACAGATGAATCAAAATGTTCAAGGGAGCACCCCAATTACTTCCTAGCTGGAAATTGATTTTTTTTAAAGCTTGCTATACAAACTACTCTTTGCAACAGTAAATCCACTAGCAATGCCTAACCAGTGTGCCATATGAAAAGCAGTTAGAACATTTGTTCTAGTATACCTTCCTGAGGCATACAAATAGTTGGACAACCCTTCACAACTTTTTTGGGTCATAACTACTACCACTACAATTGTTTGGAAGGTTTTGTTCAAGATATTTAAAGAGAAGCAGAAAGAAAGACTAGAAAGAAAAGGATTTACACACACACACACACACCAGAGAGAGAGAACAAGAAAGAAGAAAGTCTATGAAGCATTACTTTAAAATAACTTGAGCTTTGTACCACTCCACTGCATTTGTGGGATAGAAAAAGCTCATTTCTGTTTATCAACATTTCTGTGTTATGAATTAATTGTGCTTTGTTTCCCCTAAACACAATCCATCCTTTCTCGTTCAGTCTCTTTTTTTATCATTTCACATTCTGTCTGTGTGTGTGTGTCCGTCCATCCCTCCATCCCTCCATCCATCCTTTGGTCTGCTTAAACACCAGCATCACTATGAGCATATTTTAAATGCATCAGAATTCTATAGCATATACACAAAGCAGGACCTACAGTCAGATAACTAAACCTACAATGTAGGCATTGTATGACTTTGGGTGGAGGCAAACAGGTGGCCCTGGGCCACCCTGGGAAGAGGAGGATTGGGGCCGAGGCTGCCCCATGCCTCAGCCCCAATCCTACCTTTTGCTAGCCCAGAAAAGAGGGGCAAAATGCCACTTCTTTCAGAGCTGGCAAAAAGGACACCCCAAGAGCCACCATGCGGCTCTTCTGCACCCCTTCTGGCGCAGCACATCAAGACAATGCGTAATAGCACATGGCATCAGGACGTCCTTGGGGAAGGGTTGCGGCAGCCAGCATGCAGCTGCCCTTCCCCATCTCTACCGCCAGGATGCCCAAAGAGCCCATCTGCAGAGGCCCTTTGTCACTTAAACTAGGGATGGACAAAAAAAAACCACTGGTAGGAAAGAGTATTCCAATAAATTCCTTTATTTTTGTTACTGGTTTACTTTTTGCCAGGCAATAGGAACATGAGGGAAATGTCCCGTGTTTTTTTCAGCAGCCCATGATACAGCAAAGCAGAAGTTGCCCATTTGGATTTTCAATAGGTTGGCCCCATTTGGAATTTCTTCCCTCTTAAAAACATTTTAAGTCATTGGGATCAGGACATACATCACAAGTGTGTATATATTTATTTATGTCTTATGAGGAGTGGCTTAGGGAAATAGGTATGTTTAGTTTGGGAAAGAGAAGGTTAAGAGGTGACATGATAGTCATGTTTAAATATCTGAATATTGAAATATTGAGGATGGAGCAAGCTTGTTTTCTGCTGCTCCACAGATTAGAACATGGAGTAATGAATTCAAACTATATGAAAAGCAAGGGCTGAACAGAGCGCCTGAAAGGGGCAGTGGTAAGCCGCCCTTTTGCTTGCCAGATCAGGGCCACGGCAACTGCACACCATGTTTCTGATCTAGTGCTTTGCCACTCTAAAAAGAGCTGGCAAAATGCTACTCCTTTTTAGAGCAGCAAAAAACCACCCTTGCTGCTACGGTGGCAGCTTTTTTGTGTTTCTTTGGCACAGCACATCTAAACGCTGTGCCAAAGACACACCCTTTTGCCGCCTGCCCTCTGGTCAGGTGGGCAGCGTGATGGCAGCATCGGGGCAGAGTCAGGGCAGCTGGTATGCAGTTGCCATGCCCCCATTCCACTCCCTGGCCGGCCTAAAGTGCCGGTCTATAAAGCCCCCAATTCTACCTAAACATTAGGAAGAACTTCTTGATGGTGAGAACTGGTTGACAGTGGAATGTGCTCCCTCAGAGTGTGATGGAGTCTCCATCTTTGGAGGTTTATAAGCAGAGGATGGATGGCTATCTGTCAGGAGTGTTGACTGTGTATGTCTGTATGGGGTTT